TATAATATTTAAAATTACTAAAATTTGACTATAATTAGGCATAAAACAATTTGTATCTAAATTTAATTTTTTAAAAATAATTTAAATTTTATTTTATTTTTTTTATAATTATTATAATTAATTTAATTTATAAAAAATAAAATATTATTTTATAATTCAGCATATGCAAATTGTTGTCAAGTGATATTATATCAAATAATGATATATTTGAATATTTGACGAGTAGTAACATATCAAATGGCACCATTTTAATTAGTGTCTCTCTTTGTCAGAAAGAACTTAATACAAGACTCAATAAAGATTTCTTATTTGTGCTTTTAGTACTACCTAAGAAATATAGTAAAAAGAATTTCAAAATCTATATCAAAATCTTGAATAATATTTAACTAGAAATAATTTGATTACCTAAATGTATAAAGGCACTGTAACTATTTTTTACAAGTTGATTTCCAAGTTATAATTAAGATTGATATATTTGTTTTTCAAATATGGCTTAATATATAACAAGTAAAATTTATAAAAAAAGTAATACCAGTTTGTTAATACCTTATTATATAAAAGTATTATAATTACTTTATATAAATTATCTCCAAATCACAAAAAGGATTTGACATATCTATTATTCAAGTGTAACAGAAGTGTCCAATAGATAAAGTTAGATTGAATTTTCTTATGAATAGTAATATTTAGTCTTATATATAAGATTTATATTGTCAAGAAATAAGTAAAAAACTTTTGTTATTATTACTAGCTCTATTTGTAGAGTAATTAGAATTCCTAATCACTACATATTATCCTATTAGATTTTTCAATTATTACTAGTATGACATCTATAGAAAATCTATATTGATATAGACTGCTATTTTACTTTGAATACTTTAGGTAAAGATAGATCCCTAAATTATTTGTAAGGATATAATTCAAATATCTCTTATTATTAAAAATTTTTATTTCAATATTAAGAAATAAAAAAAAATTACCTACAAAGGTTCTTTATAGTTTTAAGCATCTATACAAATCATTTTTGGAATTGTTCCTATTGAAATAAAGAGCTAAGAATTATGTTCACTAGGAGACGTAAACATAAAGGAATGTAAATTTTATATGCTAAATACTTTAGGAACCTATCTTTAACTATAGGTACAACTTTTTGAAAATTTGGATAATAATAATTATATAATAGTTTTTTAAATATATTTAGTTTGTTATCAATAAGTAAATAATGCTGGATTTAATAATAATAATTATATCAATCTTTTAAATAATAAACTATTTATTTTTTTTTTGAAAAATTATAAAAAAAAAAAACTTGTCAAAGCCTACTTCTTAAAAAAGATTATTATTTTTTAATATAGTTTCTAAGAAAAAGAAATTGACTAGCCAAAAGAGTAATAAAATAAAAAACAGTATATTTAAAAAAGAGAAAAAGATCTAAAAAGGAAAAACTTTAGAAGGAAAAAAAAATCCAACTTTGACAAAAGAAGAGGAAAAAAGAAAAACAAATAAAAAACAAATAAAAAAATATATATAGAAGAATAAGAAAATAAAAAAGAATAGGGAAATAAAAAATATAAGAAAAAAGAAAAAAAGAAAGCAAAAAAAGAAAAGCAAAAAAAAGTAAACAATTCAAAAATTTCCTAAAAAGAAAATTTTTAAATGTAGAAAGAAAGAATAAAAAAAAGTTTTAATAATAAAAATAATTATTTTTGCTTGTAATAATTGGTTATATACAAAGTTTTGCCAAAAAAAAAATTAATTATATATATATTTTTTTGTTTAAACTTTTTGTTTTATACAATACTAATTTATTTACATTTTTTTAACAATAATATTTTTTCAAATGTTGGTTAAAAGGTCTTGTATAATATCAATATATTTAAATTTAACCTGCTGTTTTTGTCAAAAAAAAAAAGTAAAAAAGAGAAATAAAAATTTTTTTAAAAAAAAAAGATTTTTAATTAAATAGAAATAAGTAAGAAAAGTTTTACATGATTTATTAAATTAATAATAAAAATTTTTTATCATGTTTTTTGCACCATACTGTATATTTATAAAAAAATAATTTAAATTATATAATACAACTAAGATAATAATTTAATGAAATGTTTTATCAATTAAGAGAATTTTTATTAAAAATCGAACCTATATAAAATGGTTATGATTTTTTTTTGTACAAAAATTTTTTTACGCATTTTTGAACATTTTTTTTATTAAAATCAATATTACCTTAGCATGATGATACATATGTACTCGGAATTATATTATACCTATATTAGTTCTCGTTTAAATAACTCAAATCCACATTTGGATGTATAGTATATTCATATTCTGCAGCTGCGTTTTCATCGTCTTCATCCACCGTTTCATCGCCATCTACTTCCATTTCATTTCCATCCGGCTGAAAACCTTTGGGTATTTTCTGTAACCATTTTTCCTGTTAAATATATTAAATAGTTGTGCTTAGAATTTATTTTTAAATTAACTCGAAAGAAACCAATATTCAATAATACTTGCCTTAAGTAGTTTGTCAAGAAAAGATTTGAATCTCTTATTTTCCACTTCGATTTGAAGTTCATTTTGTAAGGTGCCTTCACGCTGTTCCATAAACAAGGTCTCTAATTCAACCTCCGAACATGCTGCATTATAGAAGATAACATTATTTAGGAATAAAATTGCCATAAACAACATAACTTTAGAAATCAAACATACACTTTGATTCCAAATCAAAAATATGCCTTAGAATTTTATCTTTGATCTTTTCGTATTCTTCATGTGCCATTTTCCATAACACTTTGACATATTTTTGCTTGTTTGATTTATGTTCAGAATCATCACCAGGAGTTTCATTATTCTCTACATCCATCGCGTTTTCGTCGACATACGCCAGGTCAAGATCATCATGATAAACGTGGATGATGGATTGTTGAATAAGTTTTGCTGCAGCTTCAACGTATATGGGTTTAACCTGCCAAAAAATTTACTTTATCAATTCTCCACGCTCAAGTTTAGCGCAACATTCTCTTTAAACATAGCTTATTCTAATTCACCTCTAAATCACAATGAGCCTTTGCAATAGCTTCTGATAAACGAATCATACTTTCCAACTGCCTTACTGTAATGCGATAAGAATTTCGGGCAACACCGGTGGCATCATCGAGTCGAAGTTCTTTGTATTTTTCAACCAACAAAGCTCTAGATTCTGGGGTGATCTTTCATATATAATATAACTGATTAATCTCGACTATAAATAAGGTGGAAATCGAACACTTTATTAACAAACCTTGGGCTTAATAGTTCTCGCGAACCGAATATATCTTTGAAGAGATTCTGTACTAAATGGTGGATTAATGTTATCATCTCCCTTTCTATGTGTACCCACAATATGTTCGGCAATCATTTGATCTATAGCTGGCTTGCATTCGTCTAGAACGACAAAGAAAAGATCGAATCGTGACATGATAGGTGCAGACATGGCAATGTTTTGCTGGTGAAAAATATTAAAATTTCCTTATATTGGGTCAGGTGATTTTAATAAGCAAAATGTTTAAATTTTCAAATAATATTTACCCTAAGGGAAAGCTTTCGATTATATCTACCACCAATTGGATTCGCAGCTGCTAGTATTGATGTCCGGGCATTTAATGTTGCATGAATGCCGGCTTTGGCTATAGTAATAGTTTGTTGTTCCATAGCCTCATGGATAGCAACCTGATCAGAGATATCCATCTTATCAAATTCGTCTATTGCACAAATACCCTAAAGTATCATAAAGCATGTTAATTTTCTGATCCGACAAGAGTAAAGTGGAGAACACAAGCCAAGGATTACATTGTCAGCCAACATTAGGGCGCCCGCCTCTATTGTAAAGTCACCGGATTCTTCATCTTTAACAACTGCAGCAGTCAAACCAGCAGCAGAAGAAGCTTTACCAGAAGTAAATATAGCGCGAGGATGTACCTGACAAACGTATCTAAATAAAAAGGGAGTTTTTAGAATATAGTGTATAATAATAAGTAATGAAAGATAAAAGAGTGAAGTGAAGTGAAACCTTACTTGAGAAATTGACTTTTACTAGTACTTGGATCTCCAACGATACAGACGTTTATGTCCCCTCTAAGATTTATGCCCTCAGGTGTTTTTTTGTGAACACCACCCAAAAGCTGAAGCAAAACTCCCTTCTTTATAATCTCATGTCCTGAAAAGTATAACAGAAAATTAATAGTTAAGGTATAGGCCATCGATCGGATATCCCTTTAAAAATATTACAAACCAAAGACATTAGGTGAGATGCTCTTTACAAGCTCTTCGAAAATATTATCTCTCTGACTCATTTCAATTATGGCTTGTCTATCTTCTTCGCTTAATTTCTGAAGATATGTTTTTGGATCGTCATCAATTTCATCAGGATCCGCTATCATGTAATTCGAATCAAGCTAATAAATTTAGAAGAATTTAAGATATAATATTAAAGAAGGTGAATTGAGGAAATCACTCCAGATAATTTAAAACATACCCTTGCATCAACGGTGTGTACAGTGCAGCCAAGAAATGATATTTTATAAGATAAATCTCTAACACCAAGAACCTTTAAGCCTGTTACTCCATTGGCCAATCCATCAGACGATTTTGCACGATTATTGCGCGCGTCACGTTGCACCTCTGCTCCAACACCTAATAAAATCCAATAGAGGAATTACTATTAGCAGACAGTATAAGCACTATGTAAAATTACATTGAGACGTGCATACCTGGAACACCAAGTTGAGTGATATCAGGGACGACAAGCGGAGTGCCCGTAATAACGCATTTATTACCCGGTTTTGCCTTCTCAACCATTTCATGTCGAAGGAGGACTTCGATCCTTTCAATACCAAAAATGATTAATTCATAGAAAATATAGCAATCGAAGTTTCTATTAAGAAAACTCACGTTCGAGGCATACTTCCGGTAGGTATTTCATTTGGATTTTCTTGAATTCTAACTCTCTGCCAATCGGTAAACTTGGATTCATCAATCTTGAGTGCCCACGCAGTTCGGTTGTTGCACGTTGGCGTTTGACACATCGTAGGCTTGAAAGAAAGGGAATTTTCATGTTTACAGATAAATCAAACACACTTGTACGCGTCCCGTGCACCACAAAAACCTCGTTGTATCAAAACATATACATACCTCGGTATATCTAAACTGTTGTTCCACATTGGATACTTCGACTTTACATTCTTGACAAATAAATTTTCCGTAGAGTAATTCCGGCCGCACCTCGCTCGTTCTGGTTACAGTACCACAAATACTCATCAAAGTTCCTATTTTATCTGTTTTTATGTCGCGGATACGATGTTGATGAGGCATATTATAAAAGGCCACGGAATATTCTAAGTCATAAGATTTTTCCAAAGCTTTAGGTTCGTCTTGTACTGGAACGATCCCAGTATTATTATTATCATCATTGTTTTCGGAACGTCGAACATTGGAATTAACCTCTCGTTCGGAAATCCCTTTCTTTTGATCATTTTCTTGTGGAAAATATATATTCATAAGAAGTTCCACGGCCTTTCGAATATACGGCTCAAGCCTTTGAGGATTAAAATGACATAATTATTATGGAAGTGAACTCATAGTATGATACTGAAATAATAGGCTTACTATACCTGTAATACTGTTCAGTGATGGCTCTCGCCAAGTTTACTGATTTATTGTAACGATTGAGGTGTCTGAAATCGACATACAAAGTGCGCCTGTTCGTGTTATGTAAGGTCTGCAACTGTTGTAAATATGGACGATGTTCCGGATCTTTTCCTTCTTCATAAAAGCTGCATAAGAAAGATAACAATAATTCATGAAACCACTTACTCAAGGTACGCGTCAAAGTCACAGGAAAGAATAATATGAAAGAACCTATACTACTATGTATTTTCGTAAGACTTACTCTTCAAGAAAATCCATGAAAATGTATCCAAATTCAGAAGCAAATTCGTCTCGCGCCTTTTCAGCCAAGTCTATAATTTTTTTTTTTCGAATTGTCTTTTTACGAGTACTTTGTCCCACTTCCTCAGCTTCGTCAAGCACATTAATTCCTTCTATTATATCCATAACTTCAGTTTAGCTAAGAACACGGTGTATGCTAAAGTAGTTAAACGCGAACAAATTTTAAGAGTGAGGAACGCGAGACGCGAATGGAATATTCCATATTTAATTAGTAGAAGCACGTGCATAATTCAAGGTCGCGCGATCACCAGAATTATGTATTACAGACACTAAGCGCCACAAAATTCGCACTTGTATTTCGAATCATAAATAGCAAATTCATTGATAATTGCCCAGCCCAAGGTTGACACAGCCGTGATCGAATAAAATTTACTGTTATATATGGAAATAAACAATGTTGACCAGATCGAACGTGCAAGTTACTATTTTTGATTGCACCCGCTTGAAAAGGACATTCCTCATCCCCGCAGCCACATTCGAATTGATTTAAACTCAATCACTTTTGTCAGTTCAACATCTCTAAAAAGAAACTTAATTTATAATCACGTGATAAACGCAAATTTATCCTAACGAGAAATAAAATCTAATACAATGTCAACTTCTCAATTTTTGGAAGAAATCTCGGATATTGAGAGGAGCACAGATTTTATTAAAGCCAACATTGGACGTATTCAGGAGTTACAAAAGCAAATATTGGGGAGCACCTCGTCGGATCAAGAAAGTAATTATGAAAATGAACGCAATTCGCTTATGGTCTACACCAAGGATCTGTTATTTAAAACAAAAGACCGTATTAAGAGGATTGAATATGAAAACGTCCGATTACCGCCAACCGATCCAAACCTCATCCTCCGAAAGCAGAGGCATGAATTTTTACGTGAAAAATTTACCAACATCCTTGAAGAATATCGTGGTGCTGAGGATGCCTACATGAGGCAACAAAAGGAACGTATGGGTCGTCAGTATAGAGTCGTAAATCCTGAGGCCTCTCAACAAGAAATAGATGGATACTT